AAATGTATTACTTTAACTTGAAAGTATCAACAATGTATTGCAGGTAAGCGTAATTATATCAGACAATTTGAATATATATTTATTTTAGATTAATATCTTTATCATCATAGTCTGATGACAAAAATGGACAGATTTTTTTTATATAAATGATGTACTGACATTGACCATTGGCATTCACAATTATTATTTTGACAAATTAATCAAGCAATATCAAATATTATAGGTTATGTATATGATTACAGTGAAAAATAGTGTAAAGCGCTTGGCTAAGCACCTAAGAGGTGGAGGCCAAGAAACTATTACGAAGTATAAGAACTGCATGGCGCTTGTGTCAACAGTAGTCTGTGGAAAATCATTACAATCATTACACAAAACAACATATTCAACAATAACTAACTGTGGATTACAAATAGATATTGAAACGGAATGAAATTTATTCTACTATAAATTTTATTCGAGGATGAACTATTCAGTGATTTTTTTGTTTTTGGTGAAACTGGCCCTAAGACAAACAAAGATAGTGTATGACCCTACTCAGCAGCAAGATACTGTCAACCTAAGCCAGAGCACAGTAATTTGATTATACATAAGAGCACAGTAATTTGATTATACATAAGAGCACAGTAATTTGATTATACATAAACATTTTCATTTCCAAAAATGGTAAGAGCTGTTCACCATGCTTCTGAGAACTAGTAAAGCCATCTGTCCCCTGGGCTAGTGTGCATGGACACTAGCTACTTGAAACGAAGTTAAAGATTCTGTAAAAATGTCATTATTAAAGTAAAATGTGTTACAATGTTAAACACAAGGGTCAATATGCAAAGTTATGACATATTTCGAACATATTTCCCAGCCACACTACTTCTACTTGGTGTGTTTGAATGAAAATCTAACTAATTTTGTAGTTTGTGTTATTTCTTAATTGTTTATGAAAAAGTCTTCTGTAATATTTTTGCAAATACATTCATAGGCAAAGATTGGAATGCAATTATGGAAAGGCAGGTGTTTTCTTAATTAAAGAACCCTACAATGAAGTTGACCTGGAGAGTCCTTTATACATAGAAAAACTCATGTTACTTAAACAATCAGCATAACCTTAGAATGGGATCCTTAATTAGATTAACCTACCACAGCAACTGAACAATCTTCAAAACTGGCCGAGCCAATTGTTAAAATGTGACCAAAGAAGTCTGGCACAAACAGTTTCTGATTATTGATAGTGAAATTGATGATTACGAGTTATGATTACTAACAACTCAATGAAACTGATCAAGCTGAAAAAGAACCATCCAGTGATGAAGATGGAGAAATGAAGAACATAAGGGTATTAGATGCTGTCTTGTAAAATGTGTGTAAGGGCTAAACAGTAAAAAACAATAATTTAGAAACAACTTTGTAAAATGTGTGTAAAGGGCTCACTAAAAAAAATAAACAACTGAAAGTTTTAAAACTTTTTGCAAAAGAATTCTGATAGAAGCCAGATCAGCTATGTAATTTCAATTCTTATAGTCTTTTCACTCGGCTTGGAAATATTTTGACAGATTCATTGTCAGAAATGTAAAACACAAAAATTCCTACCTGGCACTATTAATAGGTCAAACTATATTACAGACTAAATTCACTCACATTTTTTCAATGATTCCAGTTTTAATTGTTTTTTTTTGTTCAAATATTGGCCTATGAGCATGTGCATGTATACTAGGTTGTGCCTGCATGTACCAGTGGTACAACTCAAAATCTGGCAAGTTTAAGGCAACAAAAGATTTATATTTGGATGTGATGAATTTGAATAAATTTACCTTATTTCTAGTATGATTGTTTTGATAATGTGAATACTAGAAATAAAATAAATTTAATAGAACTCATGACAATGAAAAAACCCTTGCTATCTAATAACAGTTTTAGTTATGCCACTCTTGTATATGTGATCATAAAAAAAATTATTATTTTTTAATTTATTGAAAATTTTATGTAAACAGTGCTGTAATTTCAAGATCTAAGGAAAGTTCAATAATCAAGAAAATTCTGAAAAATCATTATTAGGCATAAAAAGCCTTAATTTTATGAAACATACTTAATTTTAGATCAAATGATATGCTACAATGTAACAAATGAATAATTTCTAGCTGAAAAATATTTTCGAGACTGAGTTCAATGTGGGTATTGACCGAAGTTAGGTGCACATATATCCAGTTGTAGACACTAGAGTAATACAAATTTTTCAGAAGATTAAGCATGGAATAAGCATGGGAGAATAAGGAGATTAAGCATTTGAAGAAACAAAGAGAATTTTTACAAACTATTTAAGTAAATTTTAATACATGTTTTGAAACTGTATTGCTCAATTTTTTCAGAAAAACTAAAAAGTAGCAGCAATCTGCTAGTGCTGATAAGATACATAGTGTAGATTCTAAGTTTGAGACTCAAAATATTTCACCCATAAAGCAAAAGATAATTACTAACCAGGAAACAAGATACTAAGCAAGCCAGTCAAATCTTATTACAAATTTATGAAACATGAATAACCACTGATAACCAATGATAATTGAATACACTAATTTTACTATTGTAAAAATAATATTTTGTAAAAGAATACTATTTACTCAAAATGGGTTAAAAACTTTTACAAAAAAAGTAAAAAAAACTTGCAATTGGTATATTGTTAAAATATTAAAATTATAAAATATCTAAAGGGGTTAATTACAATTTTCAAAATTTTTTGGGTCCTATCAGATCATCCTGACTGAAAACCTGAGTAAAAGGCATAAAATTCAGAACAAAAGGGTATAAAACAAATATTTAATAAATTACATTTTAAAGGTTGTAAAGATTAAAATTAAAAGGATGTAATTTAAATGTTTTCTATTTGAGCATTAAAAGAAAACATATTGGCTCAGTTGGCTGGTCAGAACCATGTGGTTACTGTTTAGAGTATGGGATAACATGTTCTCTTTCACTTAAATCAGAAAACAATGACATTAAGTAATTTTAAAACCTTTAAAATTTAATTTAAATACTTTTATATTTATATCATTTTGTATGGCTTTTGTGCAAGTACAAGTTCTCAATGAGGATTGTCAGGACTTAAATTAAAAATTGTAATCTGTTTTTATATTTTTATCCTTTTAATAATTGAACAAATATACCTCATTGAAAGATTTTTATTCTTTGTAAAACACTCAGTATCGTAATTTCAAATATAATTAGGAATACTACACACTCAAGTATGGAACATAAGAAATTGTTGTATTAATCATGAAAATAAACAAATGAATAGAATGTCAAATCTGCAAAGTAACAGATCAGTTTTGTTGTTCTTAATGCTACTAATTTATCTAGCTATGTAAATGAAAACAGATGCTAAAACAATTATGTAATGTAATAATTGGAAACATTTGTTTTCTGCATAAATCCTGTATGGATAAACAGCCCACAATTTAAATACTTAAAATAAGTATATTTAAGCTAAAAGTTGTGGAACTGAATTATGTACACATTAACTGCACAATATGAAAGAAACTAGCAAAGATAAGTGAACTCTAAAGTACTGAGCATATCAACAGAACACAAAAAGACAAAGACACAAAAGCGTAAAAAACAAAAGAGTTGTATTTTACTAGTGCCTTTGAGAAACATTCTGTTAAAAAAAAGTACATATAGAAATCACAATGTCAATGCCAGTTCCCTTCGAATTGTCCAGTATAATGACTGCCCCATATTGATTTATAAGAAAGGTAAATTAGTAGTACTAAAAATGTATTTCTGGGAAATAACTACAATAATTAAAATACAATTTAATTTCAAAGACCAAAACATAAAAAAAACATGTAATTTGAAGTAAAATTATGATGGCAGTTTTTATTCCCAAAAAAGTATTCGATTATCCAAATATATCATCATGTGGACATTGTTTATCTTCAAAACTTATACAAGTAATTAAAAATTCCACTTGTGTGCACAATTTCATAAATATTTTGAAACAAATGAATTTTAGTTAGGGATAGTTTATGTCTGATATGCATTTGAGTAATAGTATTCTTATAAAAAATATTTTTAATATAAAATGTACTACTTTATGTTAAATCTTGATGGTTAAGAAGCCCCCATGTATACATGTTTAATAAATAGGTAATAGCCCTACATAATATTTGACGGCAAAGCCTGCAGTCCAGTATTTGTTTGGTTCACCTTGTTTCAGTAAGGTAAGCAATTGTCTTGCAGATTTATGAACAAACTATTTCAATTTTATATAGAACTCATCTAGAAAAACTACACATATTAGTGAGATGGAGATACAAGAAAATATAGTTCAGACTTAGTAACATTTTACAAAGGTATCAAATAAGCTATGATGTATCAATATACAAGAACAACATTAAACTGAATGGATATTTATCAAATATATGGATTTAAAATGCAGTAGAAATGCGTTAGGGAAAATATATTTGAAAGTTCAATTAATGTATAAAAGAAAACATCAATTTTGTTTAAGTTATTAAGACATTTTCGGATATTTGCATACATTTGACTATTAAGCATAATTATACTGGGCCTTAGGTAACAAAACACCTAAAAATACAATACATAATTACAATTCCATCTTTTGACAGAATATTTAGATGTAAACGAAATGTTGATCTGAATTACCATAATTATTAAAATTTCCTTAGAATTTATTTAGACAGTAATAGGAAAGTAATAATACAAAGGAATACAAACCTTGACTTGATCCTTCTCCTGCTCCATGACTAGGTCCTGCTTGATCATCTACCTGTTCCATATTACTTAAATCGTCATCATCCAGTGTCAAATCCTCAATACTATCTTCATTCATTTCTTCTACATATTCAGACTTTGGTTCCAACATCAGTTCTGTGTGGGTTTCAATCTTTTCTTTTATAATAGGAACTTGGGGCATGTCATCTGTCTGTTTATGCCTCGTGAGTATCTCTGATTTAGTTTCTATTTGTTCAGGCACATCGGCGTTCATGTTCATTTTTGAAATAGCAGGTAACGTAGGAATGCTTTGGGCGGGTAGACTGTGAGATTCTGAAGAATTAGAGGCATCGTGGTTGTCTAATTCTTCACTTTTCCGCCTTAACCTTTTCTTTTTACGAGGCCCTGGTGACATGCTTCCCTCCCTGGAATCCTCCCGAGCTCTTTGCTCAATTGTCAAACCCTGTACCTTTGGCAGGGTTGTTGGTTGTGGGCTCTTTGGTGGAGGAGCAGGAGTGGGTTTTCTGTCAGTTTCCCCTTTCCTATTGTCTGATAAACCCTTAATTTGCAATGATTCAGCGGCTTTTAACAGCGCGCCTAATTGATCTTGAGATATGTTCACTTCCCCCCTATACATATAATCCATCATGGCTTTTAGTTCTTGGAACTTAACGTCCTTAAGAATAAGAATGGGATGCTTGTCAAAGTGCTTTGACAGCAGCGCCTGGAAGAAAAAAAGCATGCTGTAAAACTGATACCAAATTCAAAAAACTGTCAAAATTGTTATATAGATCTAATTGTTATGATTTGTTTTGTATACAGCATTACAAAACATGTATAACATACCCTTAACATGGGTTAAGGGTATACTGGACTTGTTTAAATGTATTGGTATATTCAGCATTATACCTTTAGAATTATCTTGACGCGATAAGGAATAAATCCAGTTTCAAAATTTAAGGATCAATAAACCAAAGAATATTTATCAATAAAGTGTATACAGTATTACACACCAACTTGATGTTCTAAAGCATTGGTATATTCAGCATTATACCAAACTTGACGCGATGAGGAATCAATCCAGGTTCAAAATTAAAACCAATGTATATTTATCTATCAATGCAGTGTATACAGTATTACACACGCTAATTTTAAGTTTTGAAGCATTGGTATATTCAGCATTATACCGAATTTAGCGCGATGACGAATAAACCCAGTTTCAAAATGAATGAATGAATAATGAATAAACGAAAGTATATGCATATATCAATTAAGTGTATACAGCATTACACAAGTTAATTTAAGTTCTAAAGCATTGGTATATTCAGCATTATACCTAAATGAACATACAGTGTATATAGTATTACACACGCTAACCTAAAATTCAAAAGCATTGGTATATTCAGCATTATACCGAACTTGACGCGTTGACGAATAAATCCAGGTTCAAAATCAATGTCGTAATGAAATGTATACAGTATTACACGTTCATTCATTTTAAAATACTAAAAAAGTTATAAACACTAAAAAACTTACTTCAAAGTATGGGCTACATGCAGACAAAACTACTTTGTGTGCGTTTAGGCATTTTCCTTCTGCTGCCAAAGTACAGTCTACTAATGTGCCGTTCTCCAATAACGTATCAAAAACGGCTACCAATGTCGATTGATGGTTGTTCCACCGTAAACAAAATTGTTGGTCGTCATCCATTTCTGTAAGAAAAAAACGGCTGTCACAATACACTAATGGAAAAACTATGGAATTATTTCATCTTCATCGCCACCCAAAATTATAAAAGATGTCTGCCGCATAAAAGTTCATCCCAAATCTGAGTCAACTGAATTGAGTACCACTCTTATTCCTTTCACTTCATTCTGAGTTTCCATTGGATGTTCCAACAAAAGCACGCAAGCGTTGTAAGCTCCAAAGGCACACGTCAGCAGAGTGGGGGAAAGGAAAGCGAAGCCTTGGCTTTGCACACAGCAAAATGGCCGCTTTTCACAGAAAGTTATGAAAAATGGCGATTCCTGAACCACAAAAACTTACGAAAAGGAAAAAACTCAAAAATGCCATGTAACAAAATATTGGGAATATAAATCTCAATACATGAAAATGTTGTTTATTTATATAGAAAGCTCTATATAAACAGAACTTGAAGTAGAAAGCTTGGGTGGTACCAATAGGAAAAACTACCGGCAAAAATTTATCAATCAAGCAAAATCTCAAATCCAAAAATTGTTGTAATAGATGAGGAAATAGGAAATGAAAGTATACTTACTTATTTTGGCACACTAAAACTAAATATCACAAATATTTTCACTTGTATTTCAACTTATGACGAGACGACGAAATCCATGTGTTTATTCTTTGCAGGGTGGCTTTGAACTAAAAGCGATCACTTCGTTGGTAATGAATTTGCAGCGGAATAGGCTGCCGGTTCATAGTGAACGAAACACTTATGACGTAGCAGGGCCACTCAGTAATGTTGTGCGCAAGAACGCCGTTTGTCTAGCCAATCAACAGCAAAGCTTTCGTGGCTAGGTGGCATCTCAGACAAGCTTCATAGTTCCGCTGCGTTAAATATAGTCCGGCAACTCACGCCGGCTATGTAAAAGAGGATGGAAGAGAGAGAGGATGGTGAAAACTTGAAAGAGAGAGCGTAGAGATGAGAAGAGAGAAACGAATTTGATCCACAACAAAATAGTGAGCCTGTCTCTTCTAATCGTACAGTCCGTTTTCCACTGTGGTCTTGATTTTATTCCTTTACCCGCGATTTTAATCGTGTTTGTTTTGCATGTTCACTTGTGACTACAAGTTTTCACGGCTAAACAGGTAAGATTCCTGTTAATGCCTATTTTCTGTGATTTTCCATTATAGGATTCTTAAATAAAAATAATATGTTGTCTTAATATGTGGAGAAAGAGCAAAATAAAACATGATGGTCGACATTTTGTGAAAGAGAGAGGTTATACATTATGTTTCTTACTCTGTTATAATCATTGTGGCGCATGTTTGTCTCTTAATCATTCTGTCATGTTCAAATTGATCAGTTTATTTAAATTTAACAAGCCTTCAGCAAAATTTCGTATTAATTTTCCACCTAATCCTTATTTTTTCTTTTCATTTTTGCATTTTTACCAACCTAACAGTGTGTAGTGTTGCAGACAAAAAATAAAACTGGTTTATTTACAAGGGGCAGTTTAAGTGTACTGTGTACCAATTCGAAGTTTTAATTTGACATGTGTGGTGTGTGCTACATTAAAAATATTTATAAGTCTTACTTAAATATACCTGGTGATCAGAAACTACACTTTTTTAAATCCTTTTTCATTCTCTCTTTTAACTACCAAAATGTTTTCTGTTTTAATTATATCTATTTTAATATTGTGACTCTTCTCCATAACATCATTTAACACAATATATTACTTTTCAGTTAATTTATACAGATTTACGTGGATATTATCCATTATAGCGATTTTTTTTGTAAATTTAGATTTATTGCGTCCTCATTTTATGTTATACTTTTATATGTACATAAGTACCTAAATCAATTATAATAATAAAACATGTGATGTATGATTTTTTATATTAAAAATTTCTATTTCTCTTAATTTTTTTGACAATATTTTAAACATGTGCTCGAATGACATTCCACCAAAAGTTGTTAGTATCTTTTACTAAAAATATTTAAAAATCTTAATACATAATGTTATATATATATATATATATATATATATATATATATATATATATATATATATATATATATATAAACATAAATAAATTTAATATTTATTTAAAAATCTTAATACATATGTAGCACCTACTAGTACTGTAAGTACGAATTTTTTTAATGTAGAATGATTAAAAAAATTATAAGGTAAAAATATTCGTTTTCCTTGTATCAATTACCTACTGTTGGAAATAAATATCTACGGTTTTTTGCCTTTTGCTTATTTAGGTTTTCAATCATCAAATCCAAATGATGGAAATATGAAACATAATACAATTTTCCCTTGTCCACTGCTGAACAAAGATCTCCCTCATCATTTAGTTAAGTTCAAATATAGTTGCACAGCCACAGTTTATTTTGCAACGTTTTAGATCGTCAGTCCATCGTGTTGGTGGATAGCCTCTATTTCGATAATCTCTTGACATCTACTTCAATCTGTTTTCTTATCATTATAGCCAAGGGGCCCGTCCGATTCCATTTCAGTGCCTCTGTTCTCTGTATCTTCTCTTCTTTAAGGGCCGTCTCCTAAACGGAGGTTGGATATCAGCATTATCTTTATCTTTACTTTATACTTTATCTACTGCTACTCTGAAGAGTTCTATGGAACTGCATTTAAACCTTAAAAACCTGCTAAACCTTAAATTCTTCAACCATGACACTCTCCTTCTTCCTATACTCCTTCCTCCTCTTATCTTTCCCTTATTATCAGCCTTAGCAGTTCATATCGCTGTCCCCTCATTACGTATCCCAGATATTGAAACTTTCTTTGACTGTAACTTATTTATGTGCTCTTGCTTCAATATCCAGCTTTTCAAGTCCATATTGCAGTATCGAAAACACGTAGCATCTCAGTGCTCGTACTCTCAGTTCTAATCTAAGATCTTTGTTGTAGAGAATTGTTTTCATTTTTACAAATGTATTTCTTGCTATTTCTATCCTAGCTCTTATTTCGGTTGTTTGATCATTGTTTTCTGAAATCCAGGTTCCTAGGTATTTGTATTTATCAACCCTTTCTATCGGTACATTTCGCAAATGAATGTTTGTTGGTATATTTGTTTTCTTTGTTATTATCATGTATTTGGTCTATTTTATATTCATTTTTAGTAGTCCATACTTTTCACAGAAACTGTTTGTTTTGTTTAGGAGTAATTGGAGTTGTTCAGCAGAGCTTGACATAATCACGGTGTCATCTGCATATCTTATGTTGCTAATAAATCTTCCGTTAATTATTATTTCTTCACTTTGAGATAGTAATCCTACCTCGTCTCCTGATTTCAATTTCTGGACTGGGTTCGGTTATCTATTACGATTTGTGCTCTTTGATTCCAGTAGAGATTTGTTATTATTCGTAAGTCCCTATTGTCTATGTTTTTTGTCTTTAGAATTTGGACTATTTTTTATGTCTTACTTTGTCAAATGCTTTTTCAAAATCAACGTAACAAACATGCACATTAACATTCATATCCATACATCTTTGAGCTAACACATTAAAAGCAAATAACTAATAAATAATTAAATAAATATCGTCAGAAAACATTGATTAAGAAGCACCCTCCCGTACCTTCTCTGTCAGTACATTCAGTGAAGAGCCTTGATGCAGATTAACTGTCACTGAAAAACTTTCGGTTAATCCGACACACGTCCTTACTTTGGTGTACACTCCGTCATACATATCCTTCACGAGCCTTACGAATTTCTCAGGAACCAATTTCTCTTTCGTACATCTCCATAGCTTTTGTCTAAGAACTGTCTTGTACGCCTTCCTAAGATCTGTAAATACCAAATATAGCTCCCTTATCTGTCTCAAAGCAAACAAGGCATTCGTTGTCCTCCTTCTTGGCATAAACTAAAACTGTTCTGATATGGATGTCTCTTACCTTAACCTTCGCTCTACATTTCTCCAAAATTTTCATTCTGTGCGACATTAACTTTATCCCCCTATAGTTCTTACAGTCCTGAATGCCCCCTTTATTTTTATACAATGATATCATCACACATTTCTTTCTCATATATCCTAACCATCATTTGCCCCAAAACATCAGTCCCTTCCTCTCCTAGGGCCTTCCAAACTTCCACAGGTATTCCATCAGGTCGTACTATTATCTCTTGCTATCCCCGGTATTACATTCTTATTTAAATTCCGCATCCTCTGTCTCTCTTCTGGTGTTCTTCATTTAGCAACTTTATAAAGTAATCATACCAGCTTTGCTTTATTTCAACATCGGTTTTTAACACCATTTCATCCACACTCTTAATTTGCCGAACGTGAGCCAAGTCCTTTGATTCTCCTTGCTTTAGGAATGCTGTATAACCTTTTCATCCCCTCGTGTGTTTCCAGCTCTTCATACAGCTGTGCAGATGATATTTAGCAGTAGCTGCCGCGTACTTTGCTTCCCTGTTTATCCTGATCTTCCTGTCTTTTAGACCTGCCATACCTCTTTCTAGCCTCTTTTTCTAAGTCTATTTGTCGCTAGGAGGCCCTTTACTAGGGGCGCTAGAGGCCCTGTACTTCTACTCGTACCACAACTTTGCTATTGTCTTTGGTGTTGGAGATCTTCCTCTGGATTTTCTGCCTTCTACATTTCCTTCTACCACCAATAGTTTCATGGTCCCCGTTCTTCTATATATGTGACAAAAGTAATTTAGGTATGCTCGGTTTCTTCTTCTTAACCTGTCAAATCCAACGTTGGCGATCACCATTGCGAAGGCTTCTCGATCGTCTGCCACATTGAATTGTATTTTATATAAAGAATTCTATTATATCCAGAATTCACAGGCTGGTTTTATATTCTGTCCAGGATACGCGTAAAATTCTTCTATAGACCCACATGTCGAAGGCTTAGATCTTATTACTATCGATTTTTTTGAGAGTCCGTGTTTCAACTGCGTATGTAGCAATGGGGAGAATAAGGGTATTGACTAACCCGAGCTTAGTATTCCTTGTTATTGTTCCATATTTTAATCAGTTTAGCTATTGCGGCTAGGGCCATTGCTATGAAATGATGGTAATCATTTCGACTTTTCTGATTTCTGATTTTTCTGCTTTCTATAATGATTCCTCCATCCCATGCATCAAGTACTTTTCTCATTTTATATTCAGAATATATGTTGTATATTCTGAATGATTACGATAAGCAATCGTGTCAAGGTCTCATTCTAAAATTTATCATGAATTTTTATCATACAGATTTCTTATTAGGTTAACTAGGTGGTTAGGTTCACCCATATTTTCGGTATACCCCAGAGGGATTAAATTTTACTGAATCTAAAGCCTTTATATAGTATATTACCTACGAGACAGAACAGCATTGGTATGTTATGTTTCCTCGCTTTTTCAATTATCTATTTGGTGTTCAGTATATGCTCCTATGTTCTTTTTCCTGGTACGAATCTGCATTGTTCTTTGGCTATCTCTGGAAGTAGAAAGTTCTTTAGCCGTTCATTGATTTTATTTACCAGGATTTTGCTTGCATGAGGAATACGGGCAATGGTTCAGTAATTGTTGCATACGGTTAGTGATCCTTTTTCATGGGAACAGATAAAGGTTTTTTCGCGCTCATCTACAGTATTAACAGTATCATGTTGCACATTGCAATCTCGCCCATTGCTTTTAGAGTATCCACTGGTATGCCATCGAGTCCTGAGGTTTTTCGTTACTAAGTTGGTTGACAGCCTCCTCTACTTCTGCTCGTAAAATGATTGATTCTGCCTCTCTGATTGCATGTTTCTTGTGTTCTGAGGCTGTTGCATCTTTTGAAGTGATTTTGTATAATGCTAAGCAGTTATTTTTCCAGGTCTCTGCAATTAAGTTTTTCTCCCAAAGTGAAATTCTTTTCTTTATGTAAAATTTGTTCATTAGTCAAGTGTATTCGCATCAGTTGACAACAGCATCTTGGCATACGAAGAAATTGCGCTTGAAAGTATTGGGTGCACATCGCTTTCGATATTTAAGACCATTTCTCCCTAATTACAACGATATCGTAATCTTAGAAGATCTATATTGACGAGCCAGTCTCCTCGTTAACATTCTAATCTGATTTCTTGCTGTTCTCTCCAATATCTCTGACCTCTGTGCAATAAATGCACGTGGTCTTATACT